ATCCTTAGAAGTAAAGGGAAATATGCCTTATGCATTTCAGAAAGTAAAACAATGATACCAGAGTATTGCTTATATACACTCAAATTAAGGAGCCTAACACTTCTGAGAAATCAGTAATTTCTCATTAGTTGTTATATTATATACACTGTTACATATGCAAAACCACACCATCAGCTTTCTATATATCACAGTATAAATAGTAGTGATTACTATAGATCACTGTCGTCTTCTCCAATACAGGGTTTTCAGTCTCTTGGAGCCTCTCCTGTTAAGAGTTTCCAGTCTTCATCTCTACATACATAAGAATATTCACTGCAAAAGCCAGTAGAAGATCTGTTTGATCATTTTTTTCAGGTCAAATAAACTCTACTGTGTAACGTAACTCTTTTGTATATAAGCCTGTCATGCACTGGCAATGACATCTGTTTGAAAATGTAACTGTGAGATATTGTTGAAAGAAAAAAAAAAAACCAACAAAAAACCCAGAAAATAATGTATTTAGATGAAACACTAGTGCTGACTGTTATTAAACAAGATTTTTGTATAATTTATATTCTTTAAAGCCCCTCAATATTTATATTGGTTCATGGTAAAATTAGTCCAGAATGCCTTTGATTCAAAAATAGCTAATTTTCATAACCAAGAGAAGAGGTTAATGAAGTTAATTGAACTGAAAAGCGAGGTATAGCAAAGGAAAATAAATCAAAAGAGTAAAAAGTTTATTTAAACATACACATTAAAAGAGATTAAGCAAAGAAGGACTGTACACTATGTGCTGAATTTGAGAACAGGAACTAAGTATGCCTATACAATAAAGTTAAAAACTACCTCTTCTTTTAAATATTTTTTTTGTAAGAATGGTGACGTACAGATTGGGAAATGTCAGCACTGTTGACAAGAATGGGCTATGGAATGGCAAATTTAAAATGGACAATCAGAACGGGATGACGAGTGCACTGGGAGACTGAAACACATGTATCTTACACCAAAGCAATACTTGATAATGTTCTTGAACACTTTTTAAGTGAATGGGCAGTTATCTCTAGATAGATACAGCTAAACAGAAAAGAAGATTACCAACATCAGATACATTACTGCAGATACATTGCACAAGGTATCCAGACTTTCATTGTCCAAGTACGCAGTCTCATCCATGATGTTGAGAATTCCTCTTTGTACACAAGGAAATTACAGTAGCTCTAATCTATCCAAGCATTATATGACAAATTAGTAGCTAAAATGGCGATGTGGATTAGTGCCAGACTGTAGAGTAACAAAATAACTAGCCAAATCGGAAATTATACATTTGTGCAGAAGTGAAAACATTAATTTATAGGGATACTAGTAAGTTTCTCAGGAACTGGTGTTCAAATTTATCTGGATTTCATATTTTCATCAATATACTGCATAAAGTAGGTAATTTTGTAACACAATCGCTAAGAATTGTTGAAGTATAAGAGGATCAGAAAATTCAGAGTAGTAGAAAAGGGATAATATATAAGAGCACAAAGTGCAAGGAAATGCTTTTAAAAAATACTACCAAAACTTAATGCTATGAACAGGGGATTTATCACTTTAAAATATAGAGGAAAATTGAGTCATCAATGTGACTGTAAGATGCACCAGGAGAGAGATTTCTAAGTAGACAGATTTTTCTGTCAGTGTCCCAGAGTTCAGAGAGACAATCTTTTAAATAAAGTTAATAAAAGTTTTGCATAAAGTTTTGGTAACCATATTAAAAAAAAAGTTATTGAAAGTAGAAAAGGTCCTGAGAAAGACATAAAGTTTTGGTAACCATATTAAAAAAAAAAATTTATTGAAATTAGAAAAGGTCCTGAGAAAGACAACCATGATGGTTAGAGGATTTTTCCCAGGAGGAAAAAGATGTATCTAAGAAAATGACAGTGATGGCTTTGGGACACATGTATATAAAATAACCATTACTAGGCTTAGGATAGAAATTAGAAAACTGGTAAGACAGACATCAGAAGAACTCAAGCTCTAGAAGATCCTTCCAGTGGAAGCTGTTATGACCATAGATAATATGTTTTAAAATTAGATTTAGTAATTAAATGGAATTACTTACCTAATTGTGTGGCTTCTTTCTAGTGGGGAGCTAAACTAGATAAACTGAAAATTCCTGGGACTGTGATCTATATGTTATGTTGGCTGTCTTTTTTAGTAATGGCAAGACAAAATCTGAATGCCTTCAAGAAGAATGGATAATCTATATAAAGCCCTTGAATGCCTGCTGAATTGTTTTTTACCATGTTCTTTACACATTATTTAATATGTTTTTCACTTCCAAGTATATTTTATCCTGACTTATTCAGAAAGACTCTATGCCTTTTGCAGTTAATTTGAAGAATTAAGCTACCTATATTAAGGTATTACTCCTCATGGTGTTCTTCCCTCTGTCAATCAGTACATTGCTCTAGTCACCAGCATTGTGAGGTTCTCTCCTCAGTCTTCTCCAATATTACCTAATGAAAGCAATTTTATTTTATCTGTATATCTCAGCCACTTAATATTCTATATCTTCCCTGAACCATTAAGGAACATATAAACCCTATGACAGTATGGTACATCTCACTGTCAACCTTTTGTCCCGCTTTGAGATGAGCATTTTATTCCTCCTCTTTCAGTTAATGTACTGAAATCAGAAGCAAGTCTTTCAGTTAATATAACAATCATTTCACCACTTGCTGTGGTCTCTGCTAATTGTACCTTCAGGCAGTACCTCACGTCTCACCTTTTGAGCGCTTTGTTTGCTCAGTAACCCTATAATAATCATCTGATCAAAGGTTCTTTGAACCTTGATCTGAAAAAGTTAAGGTGCTGTGAATGCAGCACAAAGACTGAAATTATGGAGACATATATGTAGCTGTTAACATACCTATCTAACTTTTAGACATTATTTACAGCATAGAAGCCTGGTATTCAGAATGCTACATGTCATTTAGTTGGATTCTGGTAATTTTGAGCTTTATTTTCCAAACATAGGTTTTATTTCCGTACTGACATGTAAAAGGATGAAAAAATACCATTGAGACTCTTCACTCAAAGCAGTTCTAAAACATGCAAAGGAGGATGCCAAAAAATGTGGAGATGGAGGAAAGAACATCAGAAACAAGGCCAGCATAGGAAATAACACACAGCTATTTGGTGTGAAATACATTAGACGATACGCGTTGCTTTAGGGTTGTAATGTCAGTTTATTACAAAGTATACACTGCTTCAAACAACAGAAATATATCAGTTTTTTACGGGGAAATATATCTGCCACTGGACTCCTAAAAGAACTAAAGAGTGCTTCTAGGTTTCCTACCTGTACTGCAAACCCCTTTTGCTCCAGATCCAACTTCTACTTCCCCTCCATGTGCCTTCTGTCTCACAGGGAGGCAATCAAAGCCACTGGGCCAAAAGGGATTTGTGTCAGCCTTTAATTAGGTCTCCCGTCTGGATGACCAAAGGATTATGATCCAGGGCTTATCACAGTATGTACATGTCATAGTCTAGAGTCTAGACACAGCCTCCAAGAGTAGAATGGCCAAATTCTCATACTGAAAAATAACACCTTCTCTTCAGGTATATCTCTAACATCATTGACATTGGAACAAGGTACTAGGCAATGTTAGGGATTAAGATCTAACCAAAAACCTGAAATACTCTACCTAATCACAGTATACATTAAATATTTTCCAATTTTATATTTAAAATCATTTACTGAAAACTGTAAACCATATATACGTGCTTACTACACACACATAATATTCAAAAATGCTGTAAACAGGTATCCAAAATAATTCTAGTGACAGATTGAAAGATCCTGAAACATTGCATATGCCTTGGATTCTCATAATACAACATATTTAAAAAAAAAAACAAAAAACAAAAACAAAACCGAACAAACAAAGGAGACATGGACCACCTTTAAAGTACAGAGGTTAAAGAACACACAACTAAAACTTGTAGTATATGTAGAACCATTTTAAGAGTAAGTGTAAGTGGTGTTGCCTCAGAAGGGAATATGGCAAGAACAGTCAGGAAGTCCATTGACACACAGCCTCCCTTCTCAGTTCTTGTGGCATCCCAGCAGCAATAAATATGCTCCTTTCCTAGTACCCTCTGGGTAAGAGGCAAACTTCATTTGGGGTCTGGGTGATCTTATATACATACTGAAAGATCTCTTTACTCACTGAAAGATCTCTCTTCTTCTTCTCCTTCTCTGAAGTTGGCCTTTAAAAACTGAAATAGCAATTTGATAATGTTACTCTATATAAAATTAGACTTCTGTTTCCTACTTTTAATTGTATTACAGCATTTGAATAGTATTTCCTACTTTTAATTTCAAATTAAACATATCTGTTGATTTTGTTCTAGAAAAAACATTTCTACTGAAAGACAGTTCTCAAGCCCCTTCTCAAATGGCATTGAGGAATCTTATCTTAAAACTCTGGTGAATATTTCAAATTTCAGTTCTCTGTTCTAACAAGTAGTGGTTGTTTCTCTACAAAGAAGATAGCTGGTATATAACTGAATATCTCTGAACAGATAACGTTTCAAGGAAAAACTGTTTTTTAACCAGGAAATCACTGTCTTAGAAGAACAGCATTTCTTCCTATGCTGGTTCCCATAAAAATCTAAGTTATCATAAGATAATAATATAAACCTGTATTTCAGCAATGATATACAATTGTGCTTTATATTTATCTAGGTCTAGACTGTATTCACATTGGGAGTTTTATTTGATGTGGCATTCAGCAGTTTATTTTGTGATTTTTTTTTCTGAACATATTTTCACTAATCTAATGTTATAGAAATTCCAAGATCTCAACTACAAGTCTTTCTCATCTTTACTTTTTCTATTGCCCATTGTACAAAAGCAAACTTCTTCTTCTTCTTCTTCTCCTTCTTTTTCTTCTTGTGCAGGAAAGGCATTTTCATTTTTCAGTTTTTCAGAGGCATTATGTTCAATGTTATTTAAAGAAGTGTCATACTTCAGAAATGTTTCAGAATGACAGGTTTTTGCTGGATCTGCCAGCATGGGAGAAAATTTTTCTCCAATGATATGAATTAGGCTTATTCTTAGGGTTTGGCATATTTTTGGCTTTCTATCGGGTAGATCACTATTTGTGCCTATCACAAAATCACTAGGTATGTGTTTGGATACATTATTTTGACAGTTGCTGACTTCCATGGGTTTTACATTTGTATCCTCTATACCATGTAACTTCCCTAAACTGCTTGTGCCTTTCAGAGTTGAAGTTGCAAGTATTCCAAAGCTACTAATAAAATCTAAGGTGTTATTAGCATAAAACTTATTAAAAATATTATTGGCAATCTTATTGATGCAGTTATTCTTCAGAGTCACATGACTATTTTCATCTGTTATTAAATCTTCACAGGACCATTGCATATGTTCACTCTTTTTGGCCAACAAACACAGACCCAGCTGGTTCTCGATATCAGATGCCTTTCGGTAGGCATATCCTCTCTGTTCCTCATTAAGTGGTGTTACTGTCACCATTAGTATTGGACAATGTTGGCCACATATAGCATGGAGTTTATCCAGAGAATCTTCTTCCTGAAGAGCACTTCTGTTAGCGTTACTAACATCAGTTGGCTGAGACTGTATGGGCTCATCATTTAAAGGCTGTTCCAATGGGTGCACTTTGTTATCGGGCAATCTAAATTCTACAGATGTAAAAGCTGAAAAGTTAGTATCAGCCTGTGTGGAAAGATGTGTGGAAGTAGAACCTTCCATGACTGATGGTTTGATCTTTTCTTTGTTTGCTGCAGGAAGGGAATTGATCTTACCATTGCGGCTACGTTTGCTTTTTGCACCTATGTCATCCTGAAAGGGGTCTGAATCACTGTTATGAGGTATATTGAAGTAGTTGCAAAAATTTTCAGAGGGTTTAGCCATGTCTTCAAGTTCTGAAGAAGAGATTTCATTGAGGACTGGGTACTGATTCAGATTGCCAAAGTGTGAGTATGGGACATCATCACTGTTAGTATCAAGGACTGTATCTGTTGATGTTGTATCCAAATTACCATACATTCCAATCTGTTCAGGTGGAGATCTTCTTATCAAATGATTTTCTTTGAGGAGCCATTTGCCTTTCTCTATTAATATTCCTTCATCTTCATTTGTTCCTATGCTAGCTTGACAATGCTGCGTTGGAGATTCCCCTGAAAAGTCATTAGTATAACTTGTCTCTTCTCTGTTAAGAGTAAGTTGTGGTGTTGGCAAAGAAGTATCTTCTCTTCTTGATATAGTGTTGTCTTTGTTGATGTTTATTGGAAATTCTTGTGAAGGTAGTGAAGAATGTGACAACTTCTCGGCAGAACAAGACCCAGGTCCTTGAGAAAAAAAAATGTTTTTTTCCACCACTGCAGAGTGGAATTCTTCAGCATCCTTTTGAAATACTTTCGACATATAAGGAAAACCTTTGTGAAAGTCAGGCTTAAATGAAGCTTCCGTCTTGCCATAAAGTCGTTCAATAGTTCTTTTTACATAGCCAGTATTATAATGTTTTTCAAGTACTGCTTCCTCCCCACTCTCATTGGTCAAATCACTGGACGCTCTAAAGCTACAATCACTCTCTTCAGTATCTGGTCTGTAATCTGACCAGTCTGAAGTCGCAGGACTTTTCAAGCATTTTTTTAGTTGAGAAGTGTCTAAACACATTTTATTCTCCAGTTCTTCTCCTTGCAATTTCTGTTCTCCTTCACTCATATCATATTCTGTAATTTGCTTTGATTCATAACAAAATGATAATGGAGAGACTGTAGATAACCTCTCAGAGGTTTCCTCACCAGTTTCTGTTTCTTCCTTGTCTTCCTGTACAGAATAATCCTCATTATTACAGTCTACAGAGGTTTCAGCAGCTAGTTTAAGCTGGTAATTTGTTTTTTTGTCATTACCTGCTGACTTTGGATCAGCTTTCTCATCTTCACTTTTGTCACTAACAATATGTATATCTCTTGCACCTTCTAACTCAGAAGTATCCTGATCTAAAATGTGATTTTTATCATTAGAAGTTACACTATGAACTGTCGAGTTAGGTTCTACTGAAGTTTCTGACTCTTCATTAGTGAATGACATATCAGTGCTTTTATCGTGAGATTTTTTATATAGGCTATCAGGCATTTCTTCATTTCTTTCAGGTGGCTCTATAGCTGATGCAAGGCTACAGGTATTTGAATTAGTATTGGCATATTGACCATCTAGCTGCATTTTGGGAGCACTCAAGTCTAAATTCTCTGTTTCCC